ACTGTAGCTATTAAGAATACACAGATTATGCTGTGGACCTATGAAGGGTTAAAATGCATAGAGTTGAGTGTTGCCATTAGAAAAGGAGGGGGTGCTAGTAAAGTACTCCAGGAACTGCAGAGTGTGTGTGTGTGTGTGTGTGTGTGTGTGTGTGTGTGTGTGTAAAGTAACAACTGCGCTTCAGCACCTGTCTTCCTCAATCCAAAGATGAAGTTTAAACCGCATGGACAGCTTGAAGAAAATCTCAGCCTCCACCCCTCTGCAAGTGACATGACACGACACGACACACACACAGACACACATCCATATGGAATATAATCTGACACTGTGTGCAGTCAGCATGGAGAAGGCTCGCAGTGCCCAATGTACATACATGTCAGCACAGGCAATCCAAGCAGCAGTTGCTACTTCGCGTCTGCACGCGTGTGCCTCACAGACATCTCCCCCAATTCCCGACACCCGCCTTGAGGCCCAAAGGAACCCAAGACCAGAGAGCAGGACATGCTAGAACAGAGCCAGAGAACAGCTCTCATCCTGAGGCTGTTTTTGAGCTAAAGTAGCACAGACACGCCCACCATATGTTAAGAGCAGCCTTGCGCACAACACATCAACTGTATAAACATTATAATCTGTGGTGTTAAGTAACTATTAATGCAAGTGCGCTGATACCCTGCAAGCACACGCTTTGCTCCTGTGTATCGTCGGCACTTCAGTGTCACCAGGACAAAATGCTGTATGGTTAACAGAAAGAAAAAAAAATTTATTTCGTTTCTATCAAAACAATCACAGATGGGTGCAAAGAGTTAAAAAAAGTGAAATGAGCAGAGCTGCAGGGACAAGCCCTGCTGTCGGCCTGATGCTCTGCCAACTATCTGAAAAAGGCCTTACCTGGGCCAAGACACAGCTAACCAGAGCAGGCCACACCATGAACAGCAAAGCAATTACTGCTTCATCACGCCAAATTAAAATAAATAAATAACAACAAAAAAATCATTTACATTGTATCTTGTTTTGCTAGTTTGGCCCTCGCGATACTAAAAAGCCACTTGAGAGAAAGAAGCTCTTGCTTGAGATGCGAACTCACCGGTAGCATAGCTTGGTAGTACAGCCCCATCATTGTCTGATCTAAAGGAACAACTGCTGACCAGCTTTCCACTTTCCCGTTCCTTCTCCTCTCCTTTTCCGTCTGTGTCTCGCGTTCTCCTCCTATTCCTCCTCTCCCGTGTCTGTGCTCCAGGACCATGAGCTGACGATGGCTTCAGTCCACGTCTGCCTCACACATTCAAATTCTCCCTCGTTCACTCCCTCTTCCTCCTCCTGCCGGTGTTGCTGCTTCTACTTCTCCAGCACGCGAGCCTCGTCAGCCTGTCACTCTCTGCCTCGCTTTTGCTCGTCTCTCCGGCCCTGCTGCTCTGATCCCCTCGGGCCTTTCCGTCTCTCTCCTCCTGCCAACCCGAGTCTCTTCTCTTCTTCTCTCTTTGCTCTGCGTCTGTCATTCACACACTCGCCTTACACGTCCTCCTGCTCTTCTCCCCCCCTTTGCTTCCTCTTGTTCCCGCCCCTCTTTTTAAAACTTTCCCTCCCTTTCAGTCTCAATCCCTCCTATCCATCAAAGCATCCATCCTTCCATATAGCAATCTAACCCTGTGTCTGGATGGAGTCAGAAAGCTGATGTTGTTGCCGTCTCCTAAAGCCCCCGGAGAGAGACAAGAAACGGGAAAGGAAGAAGATGCTGCCTTCTATCCACGCACTGGCTGCCTGAGAGTACAGAACACGAATGCGACCCCCACTGCATTGCAGCTTTTTTTTGATGATTTATTTATTGCGTGGCAGCCTGTCAGCTCCAAAAAAGCAGTGGTAGGTAGGCCAGCCGGTAGACAGCTAGGTAGCTAGCTGCGTGGGTAGGCTCCTAGATCACCATCTCTCTGCTGCAGCTGTCTTCCTCACACAGATGGAAGTCTCACAAAACTGAGCAAGCGCCAGCCCCGATTCCACTACCTAAACCTCAACCTGAACATTACGCTGCATTGCACCTTTTTCTTCTTGGCTCAGTTCCGTCACTTTCCAACACTGTATTGTTAGGAGGCGTTTAATTTGCAGGGATGAGAGTGCAGTTCCTTGCGCTGCATTTTCATATGGGAGGGACTGAACTCTGCAGGGGGAAAAAAAAAAAGCAAAAAAAAAAAAAAGCCCTGATGCCAAGCATTCAGACATCTGCTGAGTCTGGCTAGAACTGGGTCCAGAGGGATGGAGGGATGTTGGGAAGGAAAGATAAAGTGAATGGACGGAGGGGGTGGTGGTGATGGCAGAGAGAGGGGGTGAGACGGAAAAGGAGCTGGGATGAAGTAGAGGGGGACAGGGACTGAAGGGGGCAATGGATGTGAGCGAGAGATAACAGGATTGGGAGATAAATGGATAAAAACGTTGGGTGGAGGGAAAAAAAAAAGAGCGAGGGATGACAGGATTAGGGCTGTAAGTGAGGAGGATGAGAGGATGAATAGGGGATGATCCTGGGATTAAGTACACAGGCTGAAACACTGCGATAAACACATGCAGTCACACACAAACACATGCACCGAACGTACACACGCAGATGCGCTCTGATCATATCCATGCTGCTGCACCTTGGCTGGAAAACAGACACACATGAATTCAAACAAAGGGCTATATCCATCCAGCGCTCACCAGCTCGTCCAAACAAAGGTCTGTTCTCCAAACACGGTATCTACAGATGATCAGCAGCCCTGCTCAACTACTCTGCAGGACATGTTCACAACAACTGCACCTCGTGTGTGCAGGTTATTACATCTGCTGCTAAATGCCAAAGAAACGCTTAGGTATGCTGGTTCTGTCTTGTTTGTATGTGTGTCTTTAACTCTGATCATCAACTCTAAACATCAGGAAACCGCGGCCCCAGAGGACTGACCCCCCCTTAGAGAACAGGAGACGTATGGCAGCGGCGTCCCCAGTTAAACACGTTCGTGTTGACGCGGGCAGACCTGCGGGCAGTTCAAATGTGCATAAATAACATAAGACAGACGCATTACAGAGACAAATGCACTGCAGCGGTGAACAAGCCAATCTTGCAAAGCTAGGCTTGGCTAACTCCATTTGCATGATAACCAGCAGTGTGCTGGAGACTCCTAATGTGTGTGCTCAAGGGCAGAATACATTAGCAGGGACGACTTTTTAAATCATTTATAAAACAAATGCAGAGGTATGCCGTGGCTCTGAATTTAACACCGGGCGAGAGTTCACACACGCTGCAGATCAGAAGTGATCTCTCTGCCCAGGTGTTTGTCTTACAAACAGATGGACTCGGGCAGAGGAGAGCCGAGACTGGAATACAAGCTTGCTCTAACTAAGAAACTGATTGTGTGCCCCTGCGGGCAAGCCATCTTAAATAACATGCTTCCATTTCAGTTTTAGCTCTGTGCCACTTCCCTGCTTTATTTCTCGTCTTCCTGTCTCGCCTTTAATCTCTTGCACAACATTTGTTTTTAATCGTCAGGTTGACATCCACCCAGAAATTGTAATAAATTTGATTTGAAGCACGAAAGCCTGAAATTCTTTTGGTGTCTCCCCTCGCGTTCTCCGAGAGCTGCACTCCCACGAGAGATGTTACCAGGGGTAGAGCAGGAGTGGAGTGCAGGGAGCAGAGGAGGGAGAGGAGACTAAATGAGAGGATGAGGTCTGTGAGAATCTCCATATTGTGATGCGAGGAGGGAGGCTGGGGGGCGAGAAAGCTCACAGGCCAACACTTCCCTCCTGTGGCACTGCCAGAGAGCTGCACGTCCCAAAACACAGCCCTCAGATGCACAAACGCTTGCACGAAGACAAAAAGCGCACATACACACACACCCATAAACATACTCAAATGGCACGTGTGCATGCATACACACACGTGTGCATGCATACACACACGGGCACTGAGCTGGTTTGAGCTGCTCAATGCGCTCTGCTGCTTGAGGTAGATAAGAAAATAGTCAGCAACCCTGCCGCTGCACATATAAGTCACTAATTACCGAGAGCAATATGCTGGTGAGACATTCAGAATGAGAACGAAACAGAGAATATGAGAGAGAGGCATAAAGACAGAGAGAGAAGTGCGAAGGGGATGTGAATGGCGTTGTGAGAAAAGCTCCGCATACAAAGCATGCAAGGCGAAGAAGGTGATATCATAATTTCTCTCCACTTTCTAAGAATCAAGTCTTTGAAAGAGAAGCTCAGTCATCACTGGTTTCTCTTCCATCGATTCCTCGAAGAGAGATGAGCTACCAAAGGTGAGGCAAGGCTTTCATTACCGTCTAGATAATAATGTGGTCGTAAAAACAGACTGAATCCTGCTACATATGTGAGGATGGTGAGGACAACACTGCTAGTTTTTACTGTGCAAGAAGAATGACATGAAAGTGGACTATCACAAGTGTAACTTTCAATTTAAAAGGGGGCTGAGCCAGTCCATCTATCCTTATCATATGCCACGTATAGTATAAATTGATAAAAGAAGTTTAAAAGTAAGATCAGGCGTCATCCTACTCAGACAGTGTTTTCAACTCTTGCTCTGTGTGACGTCAGTGAGAGCGGCTATCGCTCATAGGGACACCAAAGGCGCACAGTCGTATCCAACCTTGTGCCTGTGAGATGCAGCCAATCAGAATAAGGCTGGTTTAAAATGGAGATCAGCTTGTTTTAAAGGAGCTGCACCGACGATCAGGGATTAAACTGTAAACAAAACTATTTTAGCAGTGAACAAGAATATGGAGGTCAACATAAACATAACAGGTCCCATTTGAAGAATACCAAAATGTTTTATTTATCCCATGAACAAACAGTGTTTGATTCAAGTGGACTTGACAAACTCACTTCCAGCTTTTTACCATCAGACGACTGAAAGCAGGCGTACTGTTGAGTAAGTCAAGGTTTTGTATTTCATTAATTTTTTTTTTTTTTGGCAATTTATTGTAACAGAGATTTGCGAGCAGTCACTCGTCTCTTACCTGACTGTGAGGTTGGTATCCATGGAAACCGGGATTTAAAGGCTCATTGTTCTGCAAGAGACAACAGGAGGGATGAGAGCAGCGTAAGTGGCTGTGCTTTTGAGAAGTGAGTGGATGCAGCAATGGCGCTCCAAAGAAACTTGTGCGTTTTAGATGACAAAAAAATCTCAACCTAACTTGTGAAAGCAGGAGGATTTATACTGTCACAACCCTTTTCTGTAATCTAAAAGCACAAGTCAAAGTACTTCAAGCATTTTGAGACCTTAAATGACACCCGAACACTAGCAGGGGACTAAAGTTCAAACGAGCAAAGACGACGTTCTTGCGTGGGAAAACAACTGATGAGTGAATGAAGTTAACAGTTAACAGTCTTGTGGATGCCGTGACTGATGAACCATCACTGCAGCTTCGCAAACTTTTCTATCCAGTCCCACCAACCAATCAAAATCCAGCCCATCCCTCATCGCCCCTGTTCAGAAACCAGTGTTGTGGTTAATTGCTCTGTAATTACTTTTAATTAGATTATTTCTGTCTCTTTCGCTCCATTTTCTCTGTGACTATTATTTTCCCCCCTCTGTGTCATTTTGCCCCGGCAAGAAGAGCCATTGTTTGCTACAGAGCTCGGTGAAGAGGAGGGGGCAAAAATGAAAAGACAAAAAGGAGGCGGGAGATGGGGGAGAACTGGAACAATGGGGAAAGTTAACTAAACGATGATATTTTGACAGCAGTGAGAGAGATCACTCCGGTACGGTCTAGCCTGCTGGCATGCCTCGAAGAGAAAACATGACCGCCTAGCGAGACTCATGCCTCTGCTCTCGATAAGGAGCTGAGGCATGAGTCTCACTGGAGGGAGAAAGTGGGAAGGGAGGAGGATAAGGGGAAAGGCCTCCGAGGGGGGAAAAGAAAGAAAGATGTGTATGTGTACATGTTAGAGGGTGGGGGTGAGTTTGAAATCTTTTTTAGAACTGCTGATGTTTTCATTACATTTAATCAGCAAAATATTCCAAATCCATGTGCTGGTCATCAACTTTGGCATGAACGCGCCCCTCAGTTCGGCCAGCACTTCGAGGGTGGGCCCCGTAATGCCGCAGCAATGAGAAGGGGCAGATTTGGCTTCTGAAGAGTGTCAACAGAGTTAACCTCCCGGCCCTGACCCCGATGCTGCCTGCCGCGGGAATCGCTCCATCGCTTCAAACGTTCATTCGGCCAATCGAGGGCAAGCCTGCGTGAGGAAGAAGGGGCCGGTAGGACCGCAGCAGATTGCGTAAACAGAAAGAGAAACAGCTTTTAATCTGAAGAGGTTAGAGATATGAAGGCTAAGACCAAAACACAGATGGGATGATGATGATGATACACGAGAGAATGAAGAAATGAAAAGAAGTAGTGTCTAGACAGAGAGGGGGATAGAGGGAAGCCAAATGGGGAAAAGTGAGTATGATGTTTTGGTTTATAAAAAAAAATAAAAAAAAATATGGACCAGATGTAAAGAATGGAAATAAGAAACCTTTTCTTTTTTTCTTTTGATGCATGAGCTGTAAACTCTTAACTCTGGGCGGGTCTGTCCAGACTCGGGGCCCGTCCCCCCCTTGCTTGAAACAGCCCTTTCTTTGTCTCCTCTCCCCACTTCCTGTTTCATCTGGAACCAATTTCCCCCTCGTGCCTTGTCCCCAGGGGGATCACTCTCCTTGGTGCGCCGCGCTTACAGTGGGAATGGGCAGGCTTACATCGAACGACATACCGCGTGGCGAGCTGCTGGTGCTCGATGCAGCGCATATGGAAATGCAGTAAAGGAGGCCCGTTCAGAGCAGAATTTAAAGTCCACAAAGCCCCAGGCGATGTCGGTGGGAATGACAAAACTCTTTCCTTTTTTGAATTAAATAAAAAAACAAAAAAAACAACAACAACCCATACTGCAGTGTGTTTCAAAAAAGGCCTGAAGTGACGATGCGGTTTAAAACTGGAGCTGCACTACTTATTTATTCTTTAAATGGTGGTAATTTAGCCATATGAGAAAAAAAAATTACACCCAACTACTGGTGATTAATGACGTAAATGTGCATTCTCATCACACTCCCAGTCAAAGTAAGGGTGTAGGCACTGCACTACCAAGGAGGACAACTGGAATGCCACTGAAATCCAAACCAAAATTACCCGTGACCATCAAATTGCAGAGTCGCTGCTGGTTCTACTTTGGGAAGAAGAAAAAAAGCGAGAGAGAAAGAGAAAGAGGAGGAGAAGGAGTTTACGTAGAAGAACAGAAGGAGGGGAGAAGAGGGGGAGGAAGTTTAGCAACATCTGGAATCAATCTGTCTGCAAGAGAGGAGGGACTGGAAGAGTCTGAAGGAGGAAAGAAAGAAGCAGAAGAAGAAGAAAAGAACCAGATGAAAATAAGGACAGACACACAGGAGAAAGAGGAATGTGGGTAATAAGAGAGCCAAAGCCAAGAAAGGGGAGAGAAATAAAGCAGTAAAGTATTCGCAAAATGGAGACAATGAGTCATAAGTGAAGAATGCCATGTGATTTATATTTTCTTAAAGCAGGGTGGGGGAAGGAGCTCGAGGGGTTGAATTTGATACCTAGTTTTTACAGACTCGTTTACCTACCCCCACACAAACCCAGGCACACACTGCCTTTGCCATATGGCTTTACATCACGTGGCTGCTGAAAGGTATACAAAAGTTTATTCCCGACAGCTTTTTATAAAATAAATAAAAATGAACGCAGCTGTGCTGCTTCGCTCGGTCTGAGCCCGTGCAGGTTCAGAGCTGTGCTTTCATGCCTCACTTCTGTAACTTTCCATTAAGTTAATTCCATATAGTTTGCGAGCGAGGAGGAGCCTTTGAAGGCGCCGGCCGGCTGACTGTGGAGGGCTTCAGTCTGCGCTGGCAGGGATCAGCAAAAGCACAGAAAAACCAGTCACACGCTCATAAACACTGACTCGACAGAGGGTAAAAACTAAAGGGCGTCTCTCTTGTTTATTTTCTCTCTCTCTCTGTCTCTGACTTGCTATTTTAAGAGGAGAAGGAAAGAAGTTGGGAAGTTGCTGGAGCAAATGGGTAGAAGCAAGGGAAAAAAATGGAGCAGCAGTCGTGAAGGAAGACAAAATGACATGAGGTCAACAGATGGTGAGAGGGGAGGGAGACTAAGGGAGGAGGGGAGACGGTAATTAGGCAGGCCGCTGCAGGCTTCCAGCGGTCCCAAACAGAACAGCCCGAGGAGGTGGCTTTGTGGTCTCATATCACCAAATGTTAGGGGGGGAAAAATAAAAAACACACCTGCTCCCTCCAAATCATCATGAAAAAGACTTTTTTGATATATCTGCTGCTGCATGCCTATGTCTGAGGTGTGGCAAAATAATCTAGGAGGGGTAATTTGACAAATGTCAAATCACAGCTATGCTAACATCTGATCAGCTCCACCACCAGCTCTATCAAGTCAACAAAACCCAACCGTGGAGGAGGAAACGTAGACACCAGCGTACCGTATTATAGCTATGGAGAAAAGTGCAGAAGAGCCACAAAGTGATGGATATGGTGGACTCGAGACGGGTGTATTAAAGCCGAGAGACGACGCTCAGAATGACAAATGCATTGGAGGTAGTCAATATGTGAGGACATAAGGACAAAGACCGAGAGGAAGCGCAGAAAGACAAGATGAAACACAAGCTTTCCCGAGAACTGAAGGCTCATTTATCACAACGGCATCTTTTTCACTTTACAGACCAAACTGTGCCCACACAATGGCACCGCTACAACTACCCGAGTTTCTCTCTTTTAAGCGATGTATTTTCTAAAAGAGTAGGAGTCTTCAACACCTCTGATGTGAACTGGACACGTTTTTTTGTTTTTTTTTTGGTGATGGTGGTGGTTCCGACTTTAATAAAATATAAAGCTCGAGGGCACTTCACTGGGTGGATTTATTGATGACTGTTTCCTCTGTACCGACTGTGTGGATTTGCTAATAAAAACAGATGACCTAGGAATTGGGAATTATGCAGGTCCCCGTACGTCTCCGCATGAAGGTTCCTGCACAAGAAAGCACTCATCTATAGCTGGACCACATTGTTATTTCACTGAGTTATATTATCTGTTTGCCCATCTGTCGATAAACCTGTCCTAATCTTGTAAACGAGATCACACCTGCTCACTTAAACTCAAGGAGAAACCAGTCAGATTTGGGTGGTTAAAGTTTAAGAAAGCATCTGCAAACTTTACCACCACATTTTTGACCAAAGAAAAATCTTATCATTATTTGGTACTCATTACAATACTATAAAGAATTCCAGTCCTTGTTTCAATTATAAAACTGTCTAAATAAGAAACATAAAATGCAACTACAAAAAAGGGGAGGAAGAAAAATTCAATTAGCATGTTTAAGCCTCCTTTGAAACAGAGCAGCTCTAAAGCTCTGCAGGCCAGCTTTGAGTCAGCTTTCAAAACCAGACTGAGAACGTATGATTCATTAGCTTGTTTTTATGCAAATGAATCACAAAAGTGGGCTACCTTGATAATAAACAAAACATTTAGGAGCCTCAAAGTTTTAAGAATAGCAAAAGTTAAGCGAGAGAGGCCAGTTTCAGTTTAATTTTGGCTAAAGACCAGCCACAGTTTGAGTATACCGGTAAGCTATTCTATTCTAAGCCAGCAGCGTTGGTGGTGAAAACAAACAAATCTGTGCACATACTGTTAAATTCTCCGTTTTCCTCTTCAACTTTTCTTTTTTTGGATTTGGAATCCATAAGTAGGGGGGGCTCAGGACTTTTCATGTAAGTGTATAGACCCATGCTAACTACTCAAGACTACCTTTTTTTTTTTTAATTACAAAAAGTCTGGCCCTTTGGAAGTGAAATATAAAGAAATGGCCCAAGACTTTTGCACAGTATCAAGAACACGTGAAGGAAATTTCACTACATCTAGAACAAGCGTCACCTTTGAACTCAAGGATGAAGCGATTTAATTTTACCGCTCAATGGTCCTAAACCCCTGTATCTCACAACTGTTTGTCCATTCATTCCAAATAATGTTGAGATTACAATCAAACATCTATTAGGT